GTTTGCTTATATGTTATATGATATGATTATGATTGTATGGCGTTGGTATTTTGGGGGGTAACTCACTAAGCCTTCGAGCTTACATTTATCGATTATTGTTTCAGGTATTCTGATGCTCGCGGGAAGGCGAAGGCGTGATCGTGCACCTCCTTACATTTTCATGATTGATTATGGGGATACTCTGATGTTTAAATTATTTTGAAAGTAAACTGTAATAACTTAATTTTTTTAAATGTTTTAAAACGTTTTTAATTGGCTTGAATTTTATGGGTGTTACACAAGGGTCAAAATGCAATATTATTTCAATTGAAAATACCTCAACATCGGGATGTTACACATCATCTTTCCTAAATCTATTTTGGTGCTCTTTTATGCTCTTATGGTGCTTTTGAGTAAAGGAAACATGAAAGCTTGGGCAAGAAAGCATTGTTCTTGAGGAAATTAATCTTATATTCACCCATGAACCTTGGTAAGTTCTAAAGATTTAAGACTTATTAGGTTTGTTGCATAGCTTTAGAAGTTTGATGGGTTTTTAATCCTTTTTGGTGAGTTTGGTCCCTTTGAGGTTTTTTTCTTGGAATTTGATGAACTTTAGAGCTTGTAGTTGATGCTTAGAATCAGATATGACCTTTGGATGGAGTAACGAGTGCATGCAAGATCTCTCTTTTCTCCATTCATAAAGATAAGTATATTTTGGTAGGGCTGTGCATGGGTCGGTTTTGGATCCAAACCCAACCAACCCATAAATGGACGGTTTCTGGTTTTCAGAACCCAATAGGATCGGTTTTTGGTCGGTTCGGTTTCTCGGGTTCTGGGGTCGGTTTGGGCGGTTTTTCGGTTTCTTGGGCTCAACCCATACACTCACGGCTTCTGGGTTTTAACCCATGTTCCATAAATGAAACAACAAGTTAAATACTTCAAAAAACATGAAATTTAAGCTAAATACTTAAAAAAAACATGAGTCTTACAACAAATAGTCTATTACAACCAAAACACAATCAAGTATAGGTCGGTTTCTCGGGTTGGATGGATCGGTTTCTTGGGTCGGTTTCCCGGGTTGGATGGATCGGTTTCTTGGGTCGGTTTGTCAGTTTTAAGTATGGGTCGGTTTCTGTGTAAAAACCAAAACCGAACCCGAATTTTCGATTTTTAAAAAATTCAAACCCTAACCGTCGGTTTTGCTTCGGTTTCGGTTTTTTCGGTTTCGGTTTCGTCGGTTTCTCGGTTTCTTGGTTTGGTTTTGCTCACCCCTATATTTTGGACACCTTTGAGAATTAGGGTTTTAGATCTTGCTTGTTTGGGTCATCCAAATTGATAAAGTCGAAAACTTTATCTATCAAGACATCATTGAGTATCATATCTAATAACTGAATCTTTATTAAGCTGAATAGGCCGTAGGTGCAGTGTGCCTTTGAATTCCCAATTTGCCTGATTAATTTGTCATGTAGTGGGCGATGGGCGCTTGGGATGGGGTGTGGAACTCCTTTGACTAGGTTGACTTTTTGACTTTTGACCAAGTTGACTTTTGGTCAAACTGTGAAGGATTGGACCATTGATTTAGGTTTGACCTCTGAATTTATTTAGGTGGTTTGTGTAAGCTAATTCGTTTACAGAGGCTGCTTTTAAGATTCTAATCAACCGACTCCAGGTAACCTTATAACTCTTTATCTAACCTTATTGTTTGTTCTTATTTGATAAAGGCCTTAGGGTAGGAACATCTATTCGACTGTCTATCTTATTCTTCGACTACGTATGATTATGCATTCATGAGCCGATCCTTCAATATTAGCTTTTGTATGGTTGTGGATCGGCTATAGAACTGAAATCCTTGTTTGTATGCATTGTATGTATGGTAGAGTATATGGTATGTTGGAGAACTCAGTAGGCTTTATGCTTACGTTGTTAAGTTAAATGTTTTTCAGGTTATTCAAGGGAAGGACGCGGCGTGACTGTACATTCACATCGAAGATTTATTGTTATTGGCTTCCGTTGGTTTTTATAAATTAACTCTGTTTAAACTTATGTTTTCGAAACGAAAGGATAATATAATATGTTTTCAGGAATGTGCATGAACTTTTAATCGGATTTCAAATGAAAATTTTGGTTTGAAATTTAGGACGTCACACATAGACACCGTAGATTGCTTTTATAAGTCTAATCCAAAGCATGTCTTCATTGTTATCAAAAGGCCACTGCCTTTTTTTTAAAGAGCATTATTGGATCCCTCCAAGCTTCCACGGTTGGTACCACCTCTCTTTTTGGAAGCCAAAACTTTGTCCTATTTAACCCAACTTATTTTTCTTTTTTCGTAGTTCTTCGTTCCAACCTAGAAAGAATTGAGATCTAAGAGCTTCTAACTTCTGTTTGTCTAGCACCGCAATTTAGAGATCCACATGTAGTATATAATCAAGGAGCCAAGAAGCTTGAGAACGTGTTTACAACTAATATATTTTGTTCTCTTGCGTGAAAACCCTTCTTTCCTTGAAGTTAAACAAATAAACTGGCTAGAAAAAACATTTTTGTTTGAACATTTCAACATCCTATTGTTGCTTTGCGTTAAGCTAGAGACTTTTTATATATGTAGAAACTTCATGCAAGTATTCTTTGAAACCAACTAATTTTGATCACCTTTATAACAATACCAAAACTATAATGCATGTGTCCTAAAAACACCCCTCGACAATTAGAGGAAGTTCATATACAAAAATTATAATTCTATATAAAAAACAAGTTTTAATAAACTAATAATAAATACCAAGTTGAATTTATATTACTAAATTCAAAATAGTTTTCTTTCAAGAACACCATTGTCGAGTATATAAGAATAACATCACTTTAAGTTCATATACAATTTTTTTTATTCAATATATGAAAAATTAGAAACTAAACTTTTAAAATTTAACAATAAATAATTAAATTCACATAATTAATAGCTTGCTTTGAAAGAACACCTTCCGAAAGAAAAGAGAAATTAAATATCATCCTACCATTTCTTCCTATTTATCTTCCTATCCATGTGAAATGGTGATATGTGTCATATTTTGATAAAATTAATTATATTTTAAGAGACTTGTCATCATCATTTAAAATGAGTAATGAGTAGGAAGATAATTAAGGGGAAAAATAGGAGGAAAAATAGGAGGATATTTAATTTCTCATATACTAATTTTGTCTGCATCAACGCAACGAGGAGTTGCCGGAAAAGCACGATCGAATCGAGTTGGTGGAAGGCTGCAGATGATCATTGAGTTCCCATTATTGTCATTGCACATTCTTCAACGAACATCCAAATCAGCGCCATTGTAGTAGGGTCATGCCCACCACCAACATGGTTAGTTTGTCGTCTTCTATATTTTGTCCTTTCATTTATTCTTTACAATAACGATCATCCGACACAAAACCCTCTTTCATAAACCCTTAATCCATAAATGTGAAGCGATTTTCGTGCTTATAACAACTGTTTGTTACTTGTGCGGCTTTATCCAAATCATGAAACGGAGTTCGCTCGATTATATCAAGGTTTGTGTTGAGTGAAAGTTTTGATCAGGGTTTGGATTTCATTGTGGTTGATGACGAGAGGCTAAGTTCATTTTATTCCAACTTTTATTTTTATTTATTTTCTAGAGCTACTCAAATCGACCAAGATTGATTAGGGTTTTACCTTTTATGAAACGATTTGGAATAAATTCTAATCTACGCTTGATTGATTCTTTAGATCCGCAAAATAGGAAGTTAGTTTAAAGATCTATTGTTAAGATTTGTGTTCTAAACTTAAATTTAGTTATTACTAACTTGGTGTCATGTACACTTTTCATTTTCTTTCATTGAAACTGCATTGCTTTTTTATTGGGAGATGTTCTATAAATTTGTTAAATAGTCAAAACAATTTTACACTCTACATTAAAAATGACATGATAATGTTCTTGAAAACCGAGATTATATATAATTTTTGGCTTTTGGTTCTCAGTTTCCTGGTGTGGGACCCGTGAAATAGAATGTTTCATTTGTGTGGCCACTGTTAGGTAGAGGGGGACACCTAATATAATATATTTTATTGGCCTTTTAATGTGATACCTTAGTATACAACAACAGAAAGATACAAAGTTCATGTAAATTCTTTTACATCTTAACAATCTCTTTGGCATATTGTTTGATTTCCTCTTTCTTTGATTATGAATTTGTCTTCGATTCTTGACTGGAACTTTGACATGTAGTTTGACTTTAAAAGGCAAAAGTACCAAATTATAACATGATTTCCACATGTCAATATTCAAGTTCCTTTTGAATTTTAATAATGGGACCAGAGTCTTTTTAAAAAGTCTTCAAACCCCAACAGAAGTACTTGAAAGATATCATCAATATGGTAATCAATTAATCATGCATGCAGTTTTATCATTTGGTCAAACCCCATTATATCTTTAGAATCTTTTCCTTAAAATTATGTCAATTATTTAATATTTATTACTTTGCAGGCCAATTGCTGTGATATATGTGGTGATAAAGGTGTGATTGAAGCTATAATAACATGTTGTGAATGCAAAACTTCTCGTCAGCATCTGTATGATTTCTCTTCTCTACTTCACTTTCACATGACAATATCATATGAATATAAACACCTTCTTGTATGTAAAAGGTTTATATTTTTAATCAATTTTATATAAAAAAAAATACAATCATTTAGTAATTTGTAATATACTGTAATAAATTTATAGGAATCCAACCGAAGTTAACTTTTTATATAATTAACAATTACAAACTATAAAGTATAAACATAACTTGAAAGTCTGTTATCATACATTTATAAAATACTCAAACCTTCAATCTTTTAAATATGTGAAATATTATTCGATATCCAATTGTCAATGTGTCTTAATGAATCATATGTTTTATTGTCCTTTTTTTTGTCACAATATAAAAGTAAAATTGTAATTTTCTTCATTTAGAAAACTGGAAAGTTGTATTTATGTATTAAAAGTAAATTTGTATGTTTCAGGTATTGCATGAGGGTAGTTACTACAGAGGCACCACAGTTTTGGCTCTGTGAAGAATGTGAGAGAAAAAAGTTGTTTTCACCAACAAAAACAACCGATAAAGAACAAATACCTGAAGTTTTAATACAGAAAAACACAAGGGTACTAAAAAGTCCAAACAAAAGTGCTTTTGCTAGCCGATTTAACTTCAAGGAGAAGAGGGTGAACACAGGAAGAACAAAATATATCAGTTGTGATGAAGCAGTTAAACTTTCTTCAGGTGTTAACAAGTCTGAACAACATCCACCTTCTTCAAGAAATAATGGTTTCAGTTGTAAACATGGATCATCAAGATCCATGCCACCACCACGTGAAAAGAGTCTTGTTAAAATCTATGGAGCCACCAACTCCAAGTTTTAACCACAATTACAGCAACCTGTTGCTCAAAAATCAACTGCTGTGAAAGGTGAAACTCTTTATGCATACATGTTATCTACTTTTAGTTTGTAAAATGTAATTACAAAAGTTATCATTATCTTTAACCTTTTTTTGGGGTTTCTTATTTCCAGATTCTATCAAGTCCACTAAGTGCTCTTCTGTAAGAGTTGAAAGAACAAACACAAAAAGCTTTTCACCAAGGAGTGAAGTCTTGCCTCCCACAAAAGAAGAAGCTGATATCGAGGTTTCTAAATCTTCCAAAAAAGTCGAAAAAACCATCACACAGGAAATTACAAAGATGGGTACGAGTCTCTAATATTGTGATTGTTCCTTTTTCTTATGATTTTATCTTGCCTAATCCCTAATGTTATGTATTTTTTTTTTTTAAAAAATCTTTCAGCAAAGAGTGAGGTTCTCTCTCCCACAAAAGAAGAAGCTGAAATCGAGGTGCCTAAATCTTCCAAAAAAGTCGATGAAACCAACATGAAAAGAGGTAGAAAAGATGGGTATATGTTGTTTGTTAATGTCATTGTGTCATCCTTGTTGAAAATGCCATTAATTTTGTAAATGTTATTTGAAGGTGGCAATAAAAATGATGCTGATGTGGAGGCCAGAGAAGTATATCTAACAATGGGTGGGCCAGGGCCTGTTTCTGAGATGCATGATACTTCCATTCCTGCTTTACATTCTTACTGGAAGTAAGCAAATTATCCATTCTTTTCTTGCATAAATCTAATTCTACTTTCATTCAAAAGAGGAGTCAATGTTTGACTTTTGAATGTCGAAATAGGAAGTTTTTAGAAACCTGATACCCATATAAAGGTGGAAAGTAAGAATCTTTGTGGACTTTTTTCTTTAGAAAAGAGAGTGTGTGTGTGTGTATTTGGTTTTATGTTTGAAAAAGAAAAAGATGATTATGTATGAAATTGGCATGTTTGTTTTTGTAGGGGAAGTTTTAATCTACCAAATGGGCATGAAATTTATAATGGGGCATTCAGGGCTCATCCACCATCGAATGTGCATAGTAAGGTTTATGAGGCCCTGCACAAAATGCCTGAAAATATTTGTTTTGAGTTGCTTCCAATCCCTGACTTATTTCAAGGCGACTCCCCCTATAAGGATGACATTGGCTTGTACTTCTTTCCAAGATACAAAAAAAAGGTTCATATCTTCTTCACCACCTTTATATCTTTAGGCTGGGTGGGTGGGCCCCATGTAACAAAACAGAACATCTATTGAACTATGGGACAAAAGTTGCAGTTTTTGTATTATTAAATTTTAGTTTGTTTCTTTTGTGACAAATCTTGATTTATTTAATTGGGCACAGATATGAAAAGTGTACTTTAACGGAGTTTCTTTGGAATAAAAAATTGGTTATGAAAAGCTATGTGGATGAAGTCGAGTTGTTTGTACTCTCATCTAAATTCCTACAACTAAATTCTCAAGGTAACTTCATAATCTCATATACTATATGATTATTCATACTATATGTTTATTATCCTTTTTCATGACACAACAAGTCGTACTGAATGAAAACAGGACAAAATTACACTTTTTTGTCCCATTCAAAAATATGATCTCTCATATGAATATGATATATGTGCAAAAGATGTGAATATCAACATTGAAAATAACGAGACAAAGCTTTAAGCTTGTTGTATTACATAGGAGAATGAATGTATAAATTAAATATTGTGTTTTTTTTTTGGATGTTCAGAATTTGAAGGGAATTACTTTCTTTGGGGAGTGTTTCGGGCAAACATGGTGAAGAAGGACACATCATCAAACTCAATTGTTGTGCATCAAAATCAGAATGAGAATGCGAATGACTTTCCTCCAGGTTTTGAGAAAATGCACAACCCTCCTCCTCCTCAAGGTTGATCCTTTTGCACACGTGGCACCACATACTTAGAGCTTATTATATAGGTGAAGAAAAAAATATTATTGATGGTTTCAAATAGGAAAAGAAAGAAGCACGTGTTAAATAGTTACTTCGCACAACTATGAATTTGTGGATATTGATGCCATTTACTAATTACTAATTACTAATTACTGTATGGGGAAATTCAAGCTAAATAGCAACTAATTTTACTATTTTACCTTTTCATAGCCTAAGTATATTTGACAACTCAAATATTCATGACAACAAAACAATATTGTTGACTCATAATACCACTAAAATCATTGTTATTATGCATCCTCTAAGGCCATCGGTTAAAAAACTCAATATATATATATATATATATATATATATATATATATATATATATATATATATATATATATATGAAAAATTACATGTACACATGCATATTGACAAAATAAAACAATAAATTGAATGTTTGATGTGCGATATGTTTAGACAATGCATAAATTATTATTCATAAATTAAACTTGCTGACTTACTGCTGTTGGCTTTGCCTCCTAGCTAGACAAAATGTTTAATTAACGATGAATATAACAAATTAAATTATGTATCTATCACTTTTTTTTATTAATTATATGTTTTAATATTTATTTATTACTTCATTTATAAATTATTATATTTATAATAATATTTTAATGCCTATTTATGAGTTATAGCCAATTCATTCTAGGAGTTGATATGTTGGAATCGATTTTAAAATATTGTATGTTTGTATCCCGTGATAATTACAAAAGTACGTCAATGCCCTTAAAATATCTTGTAGTTATATTTAATTACCAAAATGGTCTTTAAATATCTTGTTGATCATACCAATCTTTTTTAGATAGTTATGAAATCATATTTTTTTTATGCCAAATTTGCACGTCAATCTTGAAAAATAAACAACAAAAAGATCGATGAATAAACTAATAATTGTTGGTGATTTAATATCATCAATATTATTTAAGTGTAATAGGATTAAATTTGTTGACCAAAAGTGATCTTGATGAATATTGAACAAGTTAGGATGGTGTAGGAGTTCACACTTGTTCAAGTTTTTCAAGATTCAAAGTACACTGTTATTTAGGGGCGAAGCCCCTAAACGAACGGGGGTCCGGGGGCAGCGCCCCTGGGAGCGGGGTCCAAGGGGCAGAGATCATAAATCCGTTTTTTGGTCATTTTTCTGGTACATCTTGAAGAACATTTTCACAGATATTCTCTGATTTCATATCTCTGAATTTCATCCAATTGAGTGTTCGATCTGTACCATCGAAATACTTCAATCTGATAGTGAATCACGACTTTCAGAGAATCCAAACAATCTGTTCATCCCCTATTTCTAACAATAATTCCATCATTGATTATCCTGATTCAAAATTTTCAAGCTTTTCGTAATGACTCGTGGCGTTCAGTTTCATGATTCTGATATATTATAAACTATAAAGTAATAATAATCTCTATTAACAACCATGACATATAAACCCTACCTCATTTAGTTCATTAATTTATGTTTTTTAATCAAAATGTAGGATCAAGGCACGCATGCTTATGTCATACTACTTATTTGTGTTTTGAATTATGCAACTATTTGTTTTGTTTGTCATGTTATGAAAAATTTTGTATTGTCATAAGATTGTAACACCCATTTTCACTTATAAAGGTTAATAAATATAAACCTTTGTTTATAAAAATTAAAGTGAAAATATATTATTGTTTAGCTAAAATGATCAACATTAAAATTGTAGTAGTCGTCAAAACGAACGTGTGGATATAAAGAATATAAAAAACGAAGTTCGTATGAAAAAGTTATGATTTTTACAAGTTTCGACAAAAATCACAACAAATATAATTATGGTAAAAAACAATATGTGACCATTGTTTCTTGCATATATATATATATATATATATATATATATATATATATATATAATCATATTTTTCACATATAAAAACCTTTTTTTAACAAAAAAGTTTTATTAAAAAATATTTTTATATAGAAAAAGAAGGTTTTTTATGTAAAAATATGTTTTTTTAATAAATATGATTTTATAAAGCTAAAAAACATATTTGAAACTAAACTTTGAAGAAAAAAAAGTGTAAAAATACTAAACTTAGGATGGATTTGTAAAAAATTTAAAATATTGGCAAAAAATGTAAAACATGTTGATCAGATAAAAAATTTCAAAATGAATTCAATTACCATTATTCATGACTTAATCAGAAATATATATATATATATATATATATATATATATATATATATATATATATATATAAAAGTTCAATAGATAACCATTATTAATCAATGAACCAAGGAACCAATCCAGAGCGTCAGAATTTAATGCGATGAACGGCAAAAAAAATGGTTGTAAAATTTTATAATGGACGTACATGTACCGGATTATAACAAAACTCACTTCCTTTTTTTCATTTAAAATTTTTTTTACGCCAAGTTTTTTATCGAAAAAAAAAACCGAATATATCGTTGTTCACGATTTTTCGTCATCTTTCCATAGAGATCAATGATGATATATAAAAAACAAACTTTTTTTTTTCGAAAAAAAAACTCACTTAGTTTTCTTAGTTTTTTCAATATTTAAGTTTATTTTTATAAAAAAAAACTAATTATACCAAAAATATTAATTTTTTGTACTCTATTAATAAACATCAACACCGATTATAAAAAAAAATTAAAAAAAAAACCTCGAACAGTGTAGATTCACACTGTGAATCTAAACTGTAAATATTTCAAATTTTAACATTCACAATATGAAAAATCTCGAACAGTTCAAATTTACATTGTCAATCTGAATTACTATTATGCACACTGTGAATCTGAGAAGGTTCACAACAAAAAAAAAAAAAAAAAAAAAAAAAAAAAAACCTCGATCAGTGTAGATTCACACTGTGAACTTAAACTGTAAATATTTCAAATTTTAACATTCACAATGTGAAAAAGCTCCGATCGGTTCAGATTCACACTGTGAATCTGACTTATTATTATGCACACTGTGAATTTGAGGAGGTTCACAATGTGAATCTGAACAGGTTTACAATATGAATCTGAACTGAAATATCGGTTTTTTTTTTTTTTTAACATGAATATGAATCTATGTTTAAAAAGTACGAAAAATATGAATTTTGATATATTGATTAATTTTTTTCTATAAAAAATAGACCTTAACTTTTTTCATTAAAGAAAATGAAGTGGGTTTTTTTCGAAAAAAAAAGTTCGTTTTTTATATATCATCATAGATCTCTATGGAAAGAGGACGGAAAATCGTGAACAACGCTATATTCGGTTTTTTTTTTTTTGATAAAAAACATGGCCTAAAAAAAATTTTAAACGAAAAAAAGTGGTGAGTTTTTTTGTAAAGGGTGGATTTTTTGGTATAATTCAATGTGTGTGCGTCCAATATAAAAGTGTATATCTATTTCCTTGGCCGTTGATCGTTATGATTTCCGACGCTCACGATTGGTTCCTTGGTTCATTGGTTAATTGTGCATATACAGAAGTGGACCCCCTTTTACCTCCGGTCTTGCTCCGCCGATATATATATATATATATATATATATATATATATATATATATATATATCGGCGGAGCAAGACCGGAGGTAAAAGGGGGTCCACTTCTGTATATGCACATGCATGTTCACTTGTAACTTCTATCATATTACATATGGAATTTTTTTAATCCGTGATGGACTTCCATGCATCAGTAACCTTTGCCTATATGTACAATTTTGACATTTAAGTTGTATCTTTGCCCACATCTGCATTGTTTTAGAAAATAAAAAAGTTTCTTGTTTAATACATTCACCTAAGCAAAGCCATGAAGTGATGAAGATGCAAAGATTGAAAGTGTTGTGACTATGGGTGCCGAAAGGGAACCAATGGGGACCAAATCTCATTATTCATTAAAAAAGAAATTTTATTCTGTTAATTCACATGGTTAAAATCACTTTTAAGTGGGGTGCACCCCACTTCTTCTACATTGGCTCCGCCAGTGTATATATTAAATACGTTGCAAACTCTTCTCATGGCCAACTTTTTATTGTCTTGGACGTGATTTGAACTTGAATCACTCGTGTTTACCATGTCCTCCTCCACAACCAACTATGTCATTAATAAGTGAAGACTACATTAATACCTAAATGTCACCAATTCTTACAAATCTTATTTTATTTTAGGAATTTTAGGAATTCTTACGTAGATTGTAAGGATAACTAAGATGGTCCGTCCCTTCTAGTATTAATTTAAATTATATTACTATCTGTGTATTTATTAAATTGTTAATTAAAATTATTTATTAATTTATAAATATATTAGTATTTTATATTACAACAATATGTATTATTACATTATTTATGTTATATTATTTCTATTAACTACAAATAACGAATATACATAAAATTTATAAGATATTTGTTGATATATCAACGAGATCACTTATATAAAGAGTGTTAGCATTTACTTGTAGCTTGTATAGTTATTACAAAAGGTGTATATGACACAAATGTGTCATGAGGTGTTTTCAAAATATCTCAAAACCGAAAAACCAACAGATTATATAGATTTTTAGGTTATCCGAACTTGTTTTTTTTCTTAATTGTGATTCAGTTAACCAAGTCGGTAAAATTTTCAGGGTTTTCCCTTTCAGTTACATTTCGTTGTTTTTTAATGTTATAAATGGTGACCATAAAAACCGAATTTTGTTATTTTTTTTTTACTTTTAAGGACGCTGTTAGGTTGAGAAAGCACATCCACCTTTTTTTTTATAAATAAATTGAAATTTCTTGAAATTCATCGGAGTCCAAATAGCAGCATCAAAACAAGTATTAAAATTACACCAAGGATCTTTTAAAAATACATAAGAAACAAGACTCATATCAATGCAAAAAAAAAAAAAAAAAAAAAAAAAAAAAAAAAAACATATTTAAATATTTTATAATCAATCATTTAAAAATAAGGAAATTCTTTCATTTTTAAACTTACTGGAATCGAGACTTTCTATATCTTATTCTTCATAACTTTCAAAACTCCTTATAAAAAACTACATAAAAACTAATACTATAATTTGTTTATTGATCGTATCTTCATAACTTCCGAAGCTTCTAAAGGAAAAATTACATAAAAATCATTATATTTTATTTACTTTTAATAGTTTAACCAATATAATTCAATTTGTTGATGAAAGTCATTTGGGTTTGACTTTTTTTTTCTATGTAGACCACGTTGATCTATAGTAAATTACAATGATCACCATAGGAAAATTTGTCAAAGTTTAATGCCCTAAGTGAATTTTGACATTCAGTAATCTAGTAAAAGCACTAAATTTTGACAAAAAAAATATTTTGATTACTTTAACGTGATATATCATTGTATAACATGTCAGAATAGTCAGACATATAAATAATTGTCAAAGTTGGATAGCTTTAATTGACAAAACTGAAATATACCGAATAAAAAAATGGCCAAATAATAATATGGGTATTATGTAGGGGTGGGCATTTGGTCCAATCGGACTGAACCAATCCGGGACTGGTTTTCATAAAGTGGGTAGGGTATTGTTTATCAATATTCGTCTTACTAGATTTCGGGTTTTAATTGGTTTGGTGCCACCAGGTTTCCGGTAAAAAACCAGGACCGATCTGAAGGTTAGGACTTAGGATACAATATAAATTCCTAACTTGGCTAATCATAAGTAATTCAAATCAATTAAAAAAATTGGCAACCCCTTCATTGATCAAGAAAATGAAGAATAAAAAACAATAGATGCTAAGTGAGTAATTGGGTTGGAGATCTCGAGGAAACTCAAATAAGTTATTGTATTCTAGATATTCTTGATTGTTAGTTATAGAACTTTGTTAATATTATATGAAATTCATATTATTAGTTGATTTGTTACAAATAAATTAGTTGTTATAAGCTTGATTTCTATGGTTAGTTGAATTTTGTTGGATCTTTTTATTTGTTTTTAAGGTAGTGAAAAAGAATTTGTTGGTCCTACGGCTCAAGTTAACATCGATGACGATTCAAAATAAAAGATACGTCAAAGCCTACAAAACGAAGAAAAAAAATGGCAACAAAAGAGCCATTTGTTGGAAATCATTCGATAAAAAAAAAGTATGAACAATGTAAGTTTTGCAACGCTTTACTAAAAGTCTATCCAAACCAAAACAAGACTTCTAGGTTAGCCACACATGCAAATAGGTGCAAAAAAATCCGGCTAACAACGAAGATAAAAGTCAAACCAAGTTGAATTTTAATGACACAAATTGGGAGGCTAGTGTAACAACATGGAAACACGACAAGTCTAGAATTAAAAAATAAGGCATTATTAAACCTTCTCGTCGAAGGTGAACTGCCATTTAAGTTCATTGAAAACGAGGTCTTTATCGAATGCACCAACGCGCTTAATGGTAGGGTCGTCTTGTCATCTAGACATAAGATTTCTCATGGTGTAGCCAAGTTTTACATAGAAAAGAGAACAAAAATGCTTTATTTGAGTAACCCAAAGACCACAATACATTTGACAACAGACACTTGGACTTCTTATTGTTAAATGGTAATTTACATTGTGGTCACGACCCACTTTATAGATGAACATTGTGTGATGCACAAGAGAATAATAAATTTCAGGGAGATAGATAGCCAAAAGGAGAGAAAATTGGTTGACAATTACTCGATTGCATTCACGGATGAGGAATAAAAAATATCATGTTTATGACCGTGGAATTAGTAGATTGTATTCACTTCTAAGGACAAGGGAATTGATTTTTTGGCTAAATAGTTGCCCAATTTTTATGAAGGTGGAAATAATTTTCACATAAAGTGTGCATGACCCACATATAAAACCATATTATGAGGAATGGGCTAAAATATTGTGAGGGATGGGCTAAAATTTCAAAATCACCATGTCAAATGTGTCAAAAAATCGTAAAGTATATTAGACAATTGACACAAGGGATAATCAAGTTCAAAAAGGTTATGAAAGACCAAAGGGCTTTTAGCCCAGCTGTATCAGGTGTTGTCCTTCCTCCTTGAAGTTGAGGGTTCAAGTCTCGTCGGAAACATGGGTGGATTGAGGAGTAGTTTAGGATTATACTGTATTTGTTGTTCAAAAAAAAAGCTATGAAAGATTGTGGGTTAGAAATGAAAAAGTTTCTATGTGCTAACACCCCTACCCAATGAGACTCGACTATCGAGTTTTGCATAAGAGGAATTTTTTTTAATTGTGTTGCATTTTTTGTCATATTTTTTAAATTAGCATAACTCTTTCGTTTGAATTAGGAATGACATCATGTTTTTTCCCAACATGTAGTTAATTGTTTGTACTTCAGTTTAGACAATAATTTTAGACATGTAGTTAATTGTGTATCAAAGCTAAATTGTTTTTGTTTTAACATTATACACAATCTGTTTATTTTTTAAACTGTCATAACTCCTTCGTTTAAGGTAAAAATGACATGATTTTTTCCAACATGTATCTTATTGTTTGTACCTTATTTTAAACCACAACAGATCCTAGAAAAAGCTCGTATGCGTTCTTTAGTAACTTGAAAGTTGATTTCTATCGAGTATGGGTGTCACCACAGAAACATCTTCGTTTTTAACCTACAATCTTTCATATCTTTTTTGAACTGACTTATCTTTTGTGTCAATTATGTAACATGCCTTACGGCATTTTTGACACATTCAACACGGTAGTTTTGGAATTTTTGCTCATTCCTCAAGATAATGTTTAATATGCGGGTCATACATCTTATATTGAAATGTTTTCCACCATTGTAAAGATTTGACAAACTTTTAACCAAAAAAAAACAACTGTTTTGTCGTTAGAAGTGGTGTTATCCACGGTCATAGAAATGACTTCTTTTATACTTCATCCGTGAATGCAATTTAGTAATTTTCCGCCAAGTTTGTCTTCTTTATGGCTATCTATGGACCATTTGACAAGAGACGGTCAAGTAACCATTGACAAATGTATTGTGGTCTTTAGGTTATTTAAATATAGAAAGCATTTTTCTTCTCTCTTCTATGTAAAATTTGTCTACATCCCGGAAAATTTTATGTCTAGATAGCAAAACAACTTTACCATTAAATGCATTGGTGTATTCAATTAAAGCCTCTTCAACGAACTTAAATGTTAATTCGCCTACAACAAAAAGGTTTGATAATGTTTTGTTTATCCTAAGACTTGTCGTGTTTCCATGTTACACTTAGCCTGCTTTTTTTTGCATCTATTTGCATGTTTGCTTTTTTTTTTTGCACCAATTTGCATGTTTAGACTTTAGTTAAACCAGAGGTCTTACATTTTGCATACTTTTTTTTTCACATCATCATTCTCTACTATCTAAATTTTATCGAGCGATTTCCAACAAAACTCTAGTTTTGCCATCTAACCAATCCGGTTAACGGTTCTCATATTTTGGCTTCATTAGTTCCGGTTCCGAACCGTGTTATTTGTATTTTGCCCGCTTCTTATTAACAAAAAAATTGAATTTCTAACTAACCAATTTCTCTCATTATGTGCCACTTATTTTTCACAATATCCTTAAGAAATTTCTATCTCTTGTTTTATACAGCTACTCATAACAAGTTAAAAAAAACTAAAATATTAGAGATCTTGATTTAAGTATATAACAAAAAGTTCTTTCGTCTCGGAATATAAATGATATTAATATCCGTTGTTTTTCATTTTTCATTTAACAAAAGGAAATATGTGCATAGGAAAAAAAAATCTTTTTAAATTTTGACATTTTTTTGCTAGAATCAATACCTAACGACAAAATCACAAATAAACAAAGGGAACTAGATTCATAGGTTTAAAGAGTTGTAATAGAGCATATGTGTGAGAAATATTATTATAGTGAAGGAATTAGATGGTTTGATTAAGAATATTAACATTCACCAAAAAGGTGAAACTTGTTACTATTCACCAAAAAGAGTAAAAGTTGGTTGCCAACCCTATTATGGCCCACCAAAAAGAATTCACTTAGTTTAGTTTAAAAGTATTTTGCTATTCTCATTCTTCTCAGTAAATCTAATTTTGTTGCAAAGGAGGCTTACTTTTGTCTAATATTAAGCTAGTGACTGTATCTGTGTTTGGTGTCTTTGTCTCATTGAATTGGTCTCTGAGGAATTCAACAGCCATGAATGTAAGTGCAGAAGCTGGAACATACCATATCACCCGTGGAATGCTTCCTCTAAAAAACCCCTTTGCACCTTCAATCAACCATATTCTACGAAATGCATCCATCCAACCATTATATCTTACGATTGTGCCTTGTACTTGTAGCCTTGTTTTGATTACATCTAAAGGAGTTGTAAGATATGCACTAACACCTGTGCATGTTTTACATTCATCATGTTAATAAATCCTTCAAAACCATGTAATAAAAAATAATAATAATAATAATACCTCCAGCTATTCCTCCCAATACAAGCCCCTCAAAAGAACTATTGACATGGAATCTTGAATTAGGGAACCACTTTTGCCTCCCGTATTCTGTTACTTCTTTCAACGCTTCATAACACGTAACCTGCATATGTAAATAAATATATTAAGTGTCTTGTAGATTGATTATTGTATGTTTTATTGCCTGCTATTATTAATTAAATAGAGTACACTCGGATGAATAAAGAGAATAAGAGGTGGAAAATGGAATGACAAAACTACCATTAAACCAGCAAATGGGACATCCCTTGCAAGTGTAGACCAATACCTACCAATAAAACAAGAAAATAGTAACAAAAAAACAGGTCATTTCACATGGACTTAACGGAAAACGTGAAAAAAAAAAAATTACTTCAGGGACTGAAAAGGTTAATATTTCTTTTCAGGAACAATTCCATATTTCCATTCCATCAAGCAAAGCAAAACAAACAGGTTTTTTCAGTCATAAAAAGCACTAGCTAAAAGTGGAAATTTGAGGGGTGGTAATAAAATAAAAGTAAAAAGTATACCCTGCATATAGTCCCTTTGGTCCTTGATCTTTCCATATTGAACATCCAGCTTGAAACATTCCAGAATAGTATCCATACATACTCAAACTGGCATCAGATGCACCATCTTTCATCACAACTGAACTCCAGTATTTCTTTGTTCCTTGAACCTGCATACGTTGCTTAATCACCTCGCAAGGAACATATATAAAAGACCCAAGTGTATCTCCTGTTATGGTTTCGAGGAGATAAACAAAAACAAAACAAACAAATTATTTAATTTTATTTATTCTTCGTATGTATTAATTAATCGTATCTTGAAAGTGAAAGTGAATGGAAATTCATCAATTTGTCACAAAAACAAGAGTTACTACTTGCCTAAAGCACCAGCAATGAAATGGGCCCAATGACCTCCAAGATTCGGATGTGTTTCTTCAATCCACTTTTTGGTGGATTCTATGACACCAAAGTATGTTGCACCCGTTGCAAGAGATCCAGTTACCCCAGGTGCCACCCCTCTATAAAAACCTAACAATCAGGTAGATTTTTAGCAAAAGGGAAGATGTAAGAAAATGCTTAAAGTTTGCACATTGTGCCACTATAGGTCAGGAAAGGAGTCACATGTAAAAGCATATGATTCACACATAGAAAGGAAAAATAATAATTTTAAAGGAAGAGAATTCACCTCTTAAACCATCAGCACCCCAGACAGCTCTGACCATCTGTAATATAGTCTTTTGATTCTGATCATAGGAAAACAATGCACCAACATCACCAAGTTATAAAGTGTCAACATCCAAGAAAATGAACCCAAGTTATATCTTTCTTGTTCCTCGGAGTTTAAATTTGATTGTAAGAAAACCATAACAGACCTGGCTTTGAGTCAAAATGGCTTGACTTTGGATTCGAGTTTTCACGGTATCAATTGGGTGCATCATCCCTTCCCCAAAGCCACCAGCAAGGGCTCCCCATAAGAACTCTCTCCAAACTGAAATGTGTTAGCACATTACCATGAGAACTCTGTTTTTTCTAAGAGGTAAGAAGTATTTTGATTTTCAATCTCAACCACTTTGATAAAGAAAGTGTAACATCCTTTTAAAGCACTGCATATATGATAGTTATAAACTTATACTACCTTTGCATAATAGTAAGTGTCTTCAATTCACAGTTAGGTTGGGTAGGCTGCTTTTCAACTTCAAAAAATGATAAGGACTTAATCTAATTTTGGATAAAACTGATTACTACAAATAATACATACAATAGTCACATACAGTCGGCCTTTAGAATGCACAGAAGTTCAAATTAGGATTGGATTAGGGACATATTAGGTTCTTCTTCACCCGAGCTCAACTCGATGCACTTGTTCAATGGACAGGGTAACTGACAGTCACTTTCTATCTTAAATGACACAAAATTGAAAATCCTACACTTTTCTGCTAAACATGAGTTATACTTTGTCACGTAAATGCAATCTAAGTTCTTCATTGTTCATTCTCCAACTTTAGAATGCAATTACTATCATCTGATGCACAAATAACACCAATGCCTTCGGAAAGCAAGACTACGATATCTCTCCGTCTACATCATACACCAGTTTCATTATAGATCGGAACATTAAAACTCTAAAAATTAAAGCTAAATATCACACGGCTAACATTTTTCGATCTCAAACCAGTAACGAAGTATTTAAAATCAGACAACAACTTTCGAGGACTCATTTCAACCACAAATCTAATTTACCGCGCACGATTAGTTCAATTAGAATGCGTGAACAGGTTGTTAATCAAAACATTAAGATAGAGGACGAAGATTAAACTTGCCAAAGAATTGATTGTGTGGCGAGTTTGTTAAAACAATTGTTGCTGAAGATTTTGTTCCTTGAATTCCTTCAGAAGCTGTAGTGCTACTGCTGGTGACCGCCATGAAATCGAGCAGTTGCTTTTAGCAGTCCTTTCAACCTTTCGTTCGTCGGTTTAGGGTTTTAGGGTGGTTTTATGGAGGGGGTTTAGACAGAGGACGAGGCTCACGGAGATCGACGTTAGCCTCGAAATTTGAGGAGTCTCGTGTATTTCACGATATCTAATTCAGCGCTCTCTCCCCTCCCCTCATCGCAATGTATCAACTTTCCGCCCAAGAAAAATAATGGAATTTGTTGAGTTTACATTGTTTTTGGAAAAAAAACTCTTCAAACCTCTTATTGCTGCGCGGTGCAGCACACGCGCAGCACTTTCCATCTCGCAATTGTTTGTTTTTTAAAAGTATTCGGAGTCAAAAACCTCTGCGCGTGCTCTGTTTGGCGCAGCACTTGTACTGCCTCTTCCAACCTCTTATTTTTCTTTTTTTCTTGCTGTAATTTTGATTATATGTTGTTGAAATTTTATTTCATCTTTTTTTTCGTTTTTTTTTTGTTTATTCTTGTTGAATTTTTTTTTTTGTTTTTTTATATTCAATAATGATAATTTATTAATGAAATATCATTATTTTTTACTAAAATATCTTTATTTTTTGTTGAAATATCATTATTTTTTACTGAAATATCATTAATTGTTGCCGAAATGTTATACATTATTAAATTTTACGTATTAAAAAACTATTTTCGGTTTATAAAATTAGTTTATTTTAATTTTTTAATATCTGCAGCAGTATGCAAATGTTAAAAAAACAAGCACGCTTCTTATTACACTCTGCAGCCGTTTGGTCCACCTCTTCTACTGCAGAGGGTTGCAGAGGTGGTCCGCAGACTTCATAAATTTTTGCTTCAGAAAATCAAACAGCACCTTAGTATTAGAGTAAACTAGATTACGAGCGGCGTAAAACGGAGAGAACATGTTAAAATATACATATAAAGGTATAAAAAAGTCGGTACTGTAAAAATAGATAAAGTAACAGAAACAGATTTAGTATTATTGGTAATATTGAAATGTCTGGGAAAAAAAAAACAATGAAACACTTGAATATTTATAATCGTTGAAGAATCTCTTTGTAGACATAACTTTTTGTTTTATTAGTTGGACGACCTTCCTCGTCATATATGATTACTTTCAATCCTTTTTCACTTGTGACACGAGAAACAAAAAACATATAACTGACAATGAGTGAAGACGGGTCTACGTAAGTATAATCCAACATTTGATACTTATTGCCATTGACTTTTGTTAATGACCATAACAAAATAAACAACTATGGGGAATTGCCTCAGCTAAAAACGGAATGAGATTCTTTTATTAGACGGAGTTAAATTCATGTAAGGTATATAAGTAGTCTCGTTGAAGAATCTAGAATATATGATTCAGGCTTCAATGACGTGTCTTCCAATCCTAACAATATGTAACCTAGTAGGCTAGTACCATTGCATAGTCCTTTGGTTTGTTCGATATTACCAAGTAACACGACTGGAACACCTATTTTTAGTGTAAGTTTATGGTTGGAAATTCTAGACGCCTTAAAACCATTCAACACAACTAAAGAGTAGATTGATTCCTCAAAAAAATCTGATAAATCTATCTCACATAAAGAGTTTGAATTCATATATGTTTTCCCTTCATCTTTCATCAATCCTAAAATGTAGTCATTGGTAGCATCGAATTCTTCATTTGTAGGTACCAAAATAGCTTTATCTTGAAAATATGATGGATCATCAAGATGGTTTTCAAATGATGGATAAATGGTGGATACAATTGAATGAATATGGTCACCTGTAGAGCGAACAACAACGTCTTCTGGAAATTCAACTTCAACTTCACCATCATTAGGGCCACCAGTATTACCTTCAGTAATTTTAAGAATCTACTCATCAAATTTTTTTGTCTCATCCAAATCATTAGTTAGACAACCAAACTAAAGCCTCATGTTTACGGTTAAACATAAAACTTTACATTCACGCCATAACTCAACAAGGGAAGCTAAACAATTTACGATATATCTAAATAATCAAATGCATATCAACTCGATAACATTAATTGAAAATGTTCAAGGTTTAACGTTGGAAGTTTGATGTACAATTTAGGAATTGATTTTAGATTTATTATAGTTCAAAGTTCATTGTCTGTTTTGGATGATTACTCAAATTACATTTGCTAATCTCAGTGGGGGTCACTAATATGGTTGATGGTCTGATCTTGGTCGATGTGATGTGTTCTTCTCAATCATGAAATCAATGTGGATAGTTCGCAGACCATGTGTTGAGTAACACCTAAGTGAAGCATTTTAACACATTTAGAACAACATAAATCCATTAACTTGCATGGGATAGTTGGGTAGGGCCAATCAACTATTACAGGAAGACCTTATTACAGTAACTTAAGAACATTAGGTTATGAATATGCAACATTGTTTTGTATATTGATCACATTCTTTCTGGTAAAAAAATATTTCAAATGTTTCCTGGTAATGATCATTAGAAAGTACAAAACATGTCAAATAACATTTTAGCTTTATTACATCTCAAAGTTATTTCATATGCTATTTTGAGAGCATTTAAATGGTGTGTAAGCTACTAAAATGAATAAAGATTTTGAAGAAATTGGGTTAGTCAAAATTGGGTTTTTCTTTTTCTTGTTCGGGTTGTCATATGAGGATTTTATCATTTTCCAAAAAGATTTATCCACATATGTTCATCAAGGTAGGGATTCAAGGAATCTACATGCAGTTAAAGATTTCCAAAAAAAAAGTTATTTTTTAAAAGTACGATGTTATTAATGAATTTTTTTTTGCAAAGTTCAACGTTGTTAATGAAATTTGCTTCCAGAACACTGTCCTGCAAATGAGCTTCAATGTTGGAAAACATGAAACGTTTTAATATCATCTAAAAATATTCCAAAATAATATTTTTTTAAGTACAATGCCGTTAATAAACCTTTTTTTTTTTTTTGCAAATTTCAATACTAAAAACAAAATTTCCCTAGAAATTTGTCATATTAATGACCTACTGATTAACATTTAAATTTATATATTACATAAATGGTTCACTTGTGAACAAAAATACATAAATGGTCCATATTTGAAATGTTTTTGACATAAATGGTCTATATGCGAAAGAAAATGAAATGTACTTTCCATTAACAAAATGTTTTCAAAAAAATCCTATTTTTGAAACTACGATGCTATTAATGAATACGAAAAAATAACACTTTTCTAGATTAGCCAATAAGAATACGAAAAAATCCTTTTTTGAAACTACGATGCTATTAATGAACTTTTTTTGCAAAGTTTAATGTTATTAATGAATATTTTGTTTTCCAGAAGACAATCCTTTAAATGATCTTCAATATACAAAAAATGTAACTTTCCATAACAACTAAAAATAAATCAAAAAAGCTCATTTTTTTAAGAGTACAATGCTATATATGATTTTTTTTTTCAAAGTTGAATAATAAAAGCAATTTTTTCCAGAAAAGGTCATAATATAAGGTTAAAAGAGCATATTGTAAAATACTTATGGATCTATATGAGCAAGAATTAAACATTTCCATCAATACCCAAAAAGGCATATAAATCATGCCTCATTCTGTAATTAATTTCAACGCCCCACAATGTGGAATCCTCTCAGTGACAGCATTCCATAACTCAAACCACATTAGATAATCAATATGAAGAGAAGCTGCAATAAAATATAATAATTGTCACCATCTTATACAAATATTATAGATTATTGGGGTGTTAGATAGCGTAATAACTTGCCAACAAAAAAAAACCAACACCTTGTAGACATCACCTGTACAACATTTAATAAATATACAAAAAAACATTATATAAAATAAACTATGGTTATGATATCTCTTCTAGGGTACATATGATTATTGAAATTAATGCCAACAAAAATCTTCAATATTTAAGTGGCTCTAAATACAACTACCCTCCAGTTTTAGGGCCCTTGACTTCACCCCACTCCCAAGGAAAAACGGTCCCTCAAATACTTTAAAAAAACCTGAAAGATTAAAATATACACACAAAAAGATGAAAATGATAAAATGAACTTTCAAATATAACAACAATATTTTATAGACAATACTACAAACAAGCTAGAAACATGCAAATAGAGTCGAAAGAACATCATAATTAGATTAACACCATACACTCATTTAGTCTTATCTTTCTTCTTCCATTGTAGGAGTTTATAAAACATTTTCTATTGTATGATGGATTTCTGAATTACTTTTTTGAGATATGTGAGGTTGCAAAGAATGGAACAACAAAGAAATGGTATGGATAGGTAATCGTAAATGCAGGATAATAGAATAAGTAATTCCATTCCAGAAACATGTTTGTGAGGCATGGAATGGAACAATGAAAATTTCATACGATTTTTATGTTATATATTGCAATTTAAATTATAAAGATAATCATTCACATATCTTTGTTTAGTTATTATTATGTAATTAAAAATGGTTTATATTGCAACTTTTATACTAATATCTTCTCTTATTGCTGAGAAAACCTTGATACTCACAATGTTACCAACCCTATTTTCAAGAGTGTAGGGTGTACCCATTTATCATTGAGAAAGTAAACCCAGTAAGAAGATTCAAACCAGTTAAACGAAAGAATAAGGTTGTGCAAGATTCTTACTATGCTTCTCGGCATGCCCAGACAACACAAGTTAACCAAAAAAAACTGCTAATTAACCAAAATTAATCAATTTCAAACATTTTCCAATAAGATTTATCGATGTAATCTGTTTACATGATATACTAAAAATTTGTCTTTTCTTTGCTATTGAGTCTAAAAGATGTTTTTTTATAATATTAAAAAAGGATAAGTGAATAACTTATTTCTGAGAGCCCACATTGTATTTTTAAAGATGTTTTTTACAATAAATCAAAACACATATCACTACTGGGTTTTGCTGAGTTGTAGAATATGTGGATCACTCAATGGTATAAGGGTTTAAATTCCATCTCTAAATCCAGGAAGGGATCGAATGG